TCGACAAAGAGACACCGTCACCCCAGTCCCTAAAAACTAAATAACCTTGCAGCCTACCGTGTCCCCCTCTCGATCACTCTGAGCCTCGCCCCACCTCCCACACTCGGAATTCCGCCGCAAACACGCAGAAACTCCCCTCGGCCCCAGCGTTCCTCTGGAGCTGACTACTCCGGTGCGGGGTACCCCTTCACAATGAGAACTTCTACTTCTGCCACTCACAACCCCAACATTAGTTGCCCAAGCCTGACCCATGGTCTGCCGGCTCACTACCCAATTCCGAGCTAGACTCCTCGTCCGAAGGCCCCACAACAACCTCTCGGTGAAACAGCCTGGCACCTATCCGCCACACACGGTCCGCACGTTCATTGTCCCACACAGTGAAGGCTTGGTCGTAGCTCCTGTCTTTGCTCTCCGTAATCCATGTTGTGCCGGTCTGACACGAGACATTGAACCTCATGCCCCACTGAGTCTCAGAATGACCCTCGGTCTGACACGCCACAGAGAAATGCACCGGTGCAGCACCTCGCATTGAGAGCCAGTTCATAACGGCCTCCTGCAGCTCGTGGATGGGTGCGCCGAACACCACCTGCCTCGCCTTCCACCATTCCTCGCTGTGCGCAGTGGCCCTTGCCGACCTACTGTGGACCGCTGCTCAGAGCTCCTCGCGGCAGCTTCACCCTGGCCTGCTCGGTCTGAACCTCTGCATCCATCCTGCTTTCACGCACCTCCTGTGCCTCTGCCCTGTTATTGTAAAACCAAGCGGGGCTCAACGTATTCGGATAGAGGAGGAAAAACGGTCTGATGGTCAGCAGCGGTTTTATAACGCCTGATGGAGCATTCGATCCTCTGTTCTGGGTGCCCACCAAGCGGCCTCCCTACAGGCCACTCGGTCAACCGGCAGCCTACCTGCGCGAGCACGCATTCCAACTCTCGGGGCCACACTCCCATGGGTCGCAATCCTTTCGCCATGTTGTCTTCGGTCTTGCGTGGCCGGGTGTTCAAGCAAAACGACTCCGTGCACCGTTCCCTATGCGTCCTCGTTTGCCGCATCCCATGCGTCAGATGGGATCCAGCTGACTACCCTTGCACGGGTTCTCGGCGTACTACAGTACTTTATGCGCAACCCCACTACGGAGGGATGCGTCACATCATCTTTCCCGCGTCCTGACTACTCAACCCCTCGTTTGCTATAGTCCGACTTAGTCAATGCAAACCCATTTTCATGTAATGCTCGGCGAACTTTGCAGCACTTTTCCGCTCCTCTCATGCATCCGCACTGGAGTGTACGAACTCCTTTGCAGCTCTGGCTGAAAAATGCCTTTTGTAGGACTGAAACGGTGGCATATACGGCCCATCCCATTCAGTGAGGTCATCGGACATGGTTGTGAATACGCCAGAACGAGTACCAAGGTAACGATGGCTGTTCATTACAATCCATTTTGTGGTAGCCCGCACAGCCACCAAACGGCACAAGAGCAGTGCGTCTAGTGCTTGTCCCAGTGTTCGTCTCACTCACGTGCCAACTATCTGGCACTACATTGAGGCATACAAATCATCGAAATGAAACACACTCTTATGGATCCTAGTTTGGTGCTGGATGGGAGGATACGAGCAGTTGTGCCGACGGAGATCTTTGCATGGTGTGGCCAGTGGTGGAAATACCTATACAATCACCAATATAAGCACCTGATGGATGCGAGGATACGAGCAGTTGTTCCGACGGAGATCTCTGCATAGTGTGGCCAGTGGTGGAAATATCTTACTATCACCAATATAAGCACCTAATGGATGCCGCAATGTAGACAGAAGAACATGTGAGCTGCATCAGCCAAGCAACCAAACGGCACCAGACGTCGCTGTGGTCGTCATGCAGTCTGAAGCACACAGAATAACACGGCCACCATGCAGAGCATCAGCGTCCCCACTTCGTTCCACAACTCCACAACGCTGCGACTCGCTTGCACGGTTTCCTTTGTTTAAGAAATTTCACAATCGCCCATACAACAGTCGGTCCAGCAGCACATAAAATATGTAAGCAATGAATGCGCAACACCAAGGGGATAGGACTGCCATCACGGCAGGCTGCAGGGCTACAACCCACGCGACCAGGGCGCACAATGACAGCCGCTATGCGCCCTGCAAGCCGCGTTCCCACACCCCACACTGAGCCCCCTTCCTCCTACCCCATCATAGCGCGACCCTTCATCGCACGTTGTCATGAAGATGCGAGGGCAGTGCTTGCAGCACTTACAGAAACGCAACCAAACCGACAGTCTCTCGCACCCCGTCAGGACAGCCCTGCAGACACTGCTCCTCCACGCTCCCCTCCATCCAACACATCCTCAATCTCCTTCGATGTGAGGGTCTCCCGCTCGACGAGCGCCTTTGCCAGTTTGTGCAGGTCGCTCATCTTGTCCCCCAGCAGCTTCATCACCCGCACCTGGGCCTCCTTCAGTATCCTCGTCACCTCCGCGTCAATCTTCTTCTGCACCTCGCCGCTCAGGTCTCCCCTGTTGCTGGCGTAGATGGGCCCCACTTCGTCGCTCATCCCGCACTGCATCACCATGTGCTCTGCCGTCGTAGTTGCCTGGTGGAGGTCTGAGGACGCCCCTGAGGTAACGTGGTCTTTGCCAAACACCAGCTCCTCGGCCACTTTGCCACCCATGCACACGTCGATGCGTGCCATCAGCTGCTGCCGGCTCACTGAGTACTCATCCCGCCCAGGCGTCTGCGTCACCATGCCCAGGGCGTTGCCCCGCGCCACGATCGTTGCCTTGTGCAGGGGACTCGCGCCCGGGGTGTTCAGCGCAACCAGTGCGTGCCCCGACTCGTGGTAGGCGGTCCGCCTCATGCTCTCCTCCGTGCGCACGAGCGACTTCCTCGCCGTGCCCATCATGATCTTGTCGCGGGCGACGTCCATCAGCTCCTTTGTGACCAGGGGCTCGTTGGCCTTGGCGGCCTGCAGGGCGGACTCATTGACCAAGTTGTACAGCTCTGCACCACTGAAGCCCCTGGTCTGCTGAGCCAGTTGGGCCACATTGACGTCCGGCGCCACTGGCTTGTTGTTGAGGTAAAATTGCAGAATCTCTTCCCGGCCTCTGACGTCTGGCAGCGGCACGGTTACATGGCGGTCGAACCTCCCGGCCCTCGTGAGAGCTGGGTCCAACGTGTCCGCCAGGTTCGTTGCTGCCATGACGATGATCCCCTCATTCACTTCGAAGCCGTCCATTTCTGTGAGCAACTGATTCAGCGTCTTCCGGGTCTGGTTCTCCCAATGCTTTCTGCTTGAGCCAATGGCGTCGATCTCGTCGATGAAGACGATGCAAGGGGCGTTCTTCTTGGCAGCGTTGAAGAGGGCACGTACTCGTCTAGAGCCCACGCCAACAAACATCTCTTCGAACTCACTGCCTGCCCTGAAACAAGAGGATCATGCAGGCGGTTATTTATGGAATCTGGGAGCTCCTGCACACAAGGGGCTATGAACATAGCGGCTAGTGCACAGCCAGTAGTGGTCAGTCAGCACCTGCGAAAATGACAGTCGTGTAATGTCATCTAGTAGGCACAAGGACAATGTTCTATTGTGTTTCTGACAAACATAATCAATGTGGAATTTCCACCACATCGCAATGTATGCTGCAAACCCTGCACATGGCACAACTGGCTGTCAGTGCTCCCCTAATCCCATGAACTTTAAAAGCGAGGACTGCTGACCAAAATGGCACTCAGTCTGAGGGCACAAAATGATGGTCGTGTGCATGAACACAAACGATTCGACATCGATGAACCGCCTCAAATTCTTGCTTTCGTTTTCAAATCAAGCATCCTAAGATCACCTGCACTGCCAGCTCTGAGTGCTGCATACGTACCAGCAAGGGAAACCTTTTCAGTGGAAAAAGGAAATGCTGAGAAAACGCCAAAGAACCTCATCAGCTCTGGTGGACATGCCTGTCAAGACTGCAATCACCTGTAGAAGAACGGCACACCAGCCTCTCCTGCAACCGCCCGTGCCAACAGTGTCTTCCCAGTGCCTGGGAGGCCCACAAGCAGCACTCCCTTTGGAAGTGTGGCACCCATTCGTGTGAATTTCTCCGGATTCTTCAGGAACTCCACGATATCTTGGAGTTCCTCCTTCGATTCTGGGCACCCCTGCAACCAATCCAGCCACAGACACATTCGGACCAAGCCTTTAAGTCATAATTTCGCTGTTTGTAAGAGCCTCTTTCTTGGTTGCTGATTTCCTGCCCTATACTGCATCTATCTTCAGGCAACTTGAGGGTTACTTGATATTCTTCAGTTCAAACTGGCTCTGTGTTCAAGATTCCTCATTTTCCCAATACACTATCAACATACTGCCAGCCTCAACGCCACAGTGCACATGCAGACTGTGAGCAGCAGAAACACATGAGAGGCACACTTGGCAGGTAAGTCAACGGGCGGGTTGTCAGCCGCCTAAAAGGTGCAAAGGCTATGCCTTGTCATTACATTGACAAATGAAAGCAAAAAATTGACAAGGACTCGTGTATCTAGCGGAGGGTGTGTGGAATGAATTGTGAGGTCCTCGCCACCTGCACCCTGAAGCAGCAAAGAGATCGTGACAATCGTCCTCAGACCCACCTTGATGTCATTGAAGGTCTTGAGAGATTTCTCCGGCAATTCTTCTTTGACAAATTGCTTGGGGGCCAGTGAGGGCGACTTGTCACGCACCGATGTGGGCAGGCCGCCCTGGGGGAGATTCTGCATGCTGATGCGCTTCACAACACCGCTGCCCAGAAGCCACAGGAAGCAGAACACAGCCAGCACCCCAAGCCACTTGAAGAAGCCAAGGAAGAGAGACATGAGTCCAGGGGCAGGCTGAGCTGCCATCCCGTCCAGGCTCACATACAATGGCTGCCTCGATGTGCCACCTGGAGTGAGGTCGATCTCCCCTCCCCCAGACAACACCTGATGCAAGGCAGTAGGATCATTTCAGGGCAGAACTCAAGAGCTATGTTTGCTCTATTCTGATGTGAGCCTTGTTGCAGTGAATTCCAGCTGCATCAGGAACATCCCTATGTGTCAAATACAATGTACAGGTGTCAACAATCACAATTTCAACTGCAGGTTTTGCTCCAGAAATTGTGCTCCTCTTCGCTCAGAAAATGTTCCCTGTGCATGCACTTTACAATTCAGACGATCAAAGTGTTGCTGCATTCAAGCCAATGATGCCTCTGGGCTGCATTTTTTATGGACCTGGACAGCCACCATTTGCCCATGACCGACTTTGGTCACGGGTGCAGTGGTAATTCCCACACTCTGGGGTTGATTCTGTTATGACCTGCAGGCAGTTTGTACAAGAACATTGTCATCACCTTTCAGCAGCAAACTGCTCGTTTTGCAAGCAGGCAGCACAAAACGTCAGGCAACCTCCCCAGCAGGTGTATTGAAAATTGCTCAACACCATCTGTACTCCATTGTGGATGGACATGAGCAAGGCGATTGATACTGAATTATGATGTTGAATTAATGTTGAATTAATGTTCATTGCCGCATTAATGTTGCCTTTGGAATCCACACCCAGGTTTCACAAAGTACCCATCACCCGCCTCGAAGGTGCCAGGGAGGCGCTTGTTCAATGACAATACAAAGATCATATCACAATATCCTGCCCACTTATGGGCTGTTGGGACAACCAACGTTTGGTTGCCAAAAAGCTTGCGGCACTGCCTGAAACTGCGTTGCTGATCCAAGGGCTTCGGGGCACCGGCGTGCATTGACATGGTTGCAGCCAGAAGCTCACCTGCAGATCGTGTAGCAGCTTTGGCAGCGAACGGTGCCCATCCCCTGTCGCCATGCCCCTGTCGTTTGCAAACTCGGACAGCCGCCCCGTGTGCACCAGCGCCTTCAGGTACTCCACGACCACCGCACTGCTTGTGGCATACTTTCCCGAGTCCACCCGCTGCAGCACCTCCCCTGGGCTGACCTCGTTCAGCTGCACCAGGAAGCGCGTGTGTGCCTCCGCGTCCCCCGGCGCCGCATCGCTCTCCGCCTGCAGCTTCCTCAGGTGGCGCTGCCGCTGCCAGGCCGGCAGCTTGCGCATCCAGTCCAGCACGACTTGCACAATCATCAGCAGGCGGGATCGCATCCCCATGACAACGGACGCCAGCCCCGGCGGCCCCGCGGCCGGGGCGGCCTCCGACCCAGCCTCTGCGGGCTCCGCTGGATCGCTCCCCTGCTGCAACGCACCCCCAGGCCGGCCATTGGATTTGCCATCATCGGCCGAATGGACGGAACTGGCGGCCTTCTCCGAGCTTTCACTCCCCCCAGATGCGGCGTCCAAGGTGGAGCACGCCTTCACATCGCGGCCACGTCCCCCTTTTGGGTGGCACTCGCGCGAATGCAGACCCATGGGCTCAGCGGGGCCCATCCGCCTGCGCCTCAGCGAGCATGGCCCGGGCTCTCTCCTGGGGCGAAGATGCCCCTTGGGGTTCCACGGGGATCCTCGCCTCTGCCCGGCGTCCGGCTTCAGGGGCCAGCCCGCCCGCCAGGGGCTCACGCCCGGCAGCGGCAATCCGTGTCTCGATAGGCTATCGTCCGCTGGGGGGGGCGAGGGCCCCGAGAGTGTTGTGAGCATGGCCGACGCCCGATGCCTGCCGACCGCGGGACGGCCGCCAAGGGGAGGGGATCGAACGCGCGCGGTCCGTGCGCGCGGGGAAGAGCGTCGGAAAACCTGACGATCCAGACAGGCGCGAACGTCAATCGCTGAAAGGACACAGTGCTGGGCATCGACGCAAGAGGGATGGGAGGCGGAATAAACGAAAGATTTCGGTACGAACAGCAGGGATCGATGAGCCGTGCGACGGTGGCCGAACCGAACTCCAGCCACGCACCTGTCGCCGGGGCTCGGCCGTCGGAGACGGGTTAATGTCCCGAGCGCAGGCTGCCTCGCCTGGCCAGTTCGGGAGGCAGGCGGCCTGTTACACAGGCCGCTCCGCCGTCTGCGCCCCCGCTGGACGCCGCGTCGTGAGGGCCTGGGGAGGGGTCTCGGGGAGGCTGCGTGCTCCCTGGGGGCGGCGCGCGGCGCCTGCGCTTGGAGGACGAGCGCGGTGTGCGCAATGTTACTGGCCGACATCGCAGTCCCAAGGCTACCACGGTCTGCGGCATCGCAGGTCCGTGTAGTGTAGTGTGCAAGTCCGCACACTTGTGTGCGTAGTGTAGTGTGCTTGCTGCACACGGACCGGGCCCGTGGTCTTTCGCTGCCGTATCAAGGGACTGGCTGTCTTCCGGGGGGGCTCTTGCGATGCACGCCGGTGGTGAAAACTCCCAATATATCACAATCGCAGCCGCTCCGACTCCAATGTGTTCGCAAAACCGCATAATGACCACCGTTTCCCTGGGTGGATCACTTATGCATTATGGTGTTCAACTTGTATGCACTTCAAGAATAATGTTTATATACAAGGCATTCTGAATCTATACAAAGAAAAGAAAAATGTGTTCTAGAATTCAGAGAATTATTTCTCCTATGATGGGGCTTTTGTGCGCATCAATTTGATTGTTGTGGGAGATGCCATCTGATTCAGAGGCAGATGCTATGGTTGGGGTTGCATTCGAAATTGAAACATTCCTACATTGCCGTTGAGTGTATGGGCACCTTTGGCATATGTTTTATGAAGTGGGTTGCATTGTGGCGACGAGTGGGCATCTCTGAAGTGTCGTATGGCTGGTTGTTGATGGATGATGGTCGTTGTCATATGAAAAGAAGAGTTCTGTGGGTGCAAAGAGGTTCGAACTGTTCGGTTGCGGTGGTCGTTGCCACCATCGGCAAGGCTCTTCATTGTGGGAAGGGTGAACAAATATGTAAGCCCCGGGCGTTTTGTGTGGCCTTGCGCCTGGCCGTGTGCCAACCCGTTGGGGCATCGGCGATCGTGGATTCGCGCTTCCCGTATAAAAGGCGTTTGAATCGCATCAATGGCCATTCCTTCAAGACAAGGTTAATCCCACGCTCTTTTTGTTTCCTGACTACCTGCTAAGATTGCACAAGGTGTTGTCCAGTTACTCACACAGATATGCCATTTCACCGGATTTATCCACCCATGTGAAAGTAACATACTCATGATCTGTCGGTTTGCTATGAAGCCACGAAAGTGGAAGAAGGAACTTAAATCAGAACATGTGAATGTCATCTGCACAAGTGACAAAAATGCACAAGAAGAACTTTCCAATCAACATTCTTCAGTTGGCTGTGCCAACCATCATGTGCGTGATTTTTTCCCTTTCTGCGGGGATCGGCAACTCTGTTGCAAAGCATGACAAAGAGGCACAATGTGCTATGCTGTACATCTGCTGTAGCAATCCAGTTTCTCCACTAGTGGCCTTTATCCCTATGAATTTATCTTTATTGTTACTTAGTGAGACCGAAATACTAGGGATCACCCGCGAGCCCTAGGCACTGCCACGTGGCCATCGACCATGAAGACATGGGAGCGTTCACACTCCACGTCTGATGAAGATACGTGGAAGCTGCAAGTTGTGCATTGTCGATCGCACATGCAAGCCTTGCTCTTATCTCGATTGTGTGCTCCTTACTTGACCACACCCTTTGCTGCCCCATTTGAGTGCGAACATCACTCTCTTATTCCTGAATCACCTATTCGTATTTGTATTATGTTAGTGCACTTCGTATTGTTCCGCCACTGACTAGTTCGCTGCAGGGAAGCTCTCCTGTTGCCACTGTCAGGGAACGAGCTCGAGGCAACGGACTCCGTTGGACTGGTTTAGAGACACATCCCAAATCATGACATCCCTCTTCGGCCAGGTCATCTATTCCATCCACGTGTCCGGCCAGGTCATCTATTCCATCCACGTGTCATGACAATGTCACCGTGGTAAATCGAAGAGCTAAATGTCGCACCTTGTGTTCCATGAGCCGGGAGATTGACGTCTATTCGTAACACCGCGTAATAACCACCGTTTCACTGGGTGGATCACTTATGCATTATGGTGTGCGATTTGTATGCACTTCAAGAATATGGTTTACAAGGCATTCTGAATCCATAAAAAGAAAAGAAAAATGTGTTTTATCATATGGCTGGCTTGTGATGAATGATGGTCCTTGTCATATGAAAAGAGGAGTTCTGTGGGTGCAAAAAGATTCGAACTGTTCGGTTGCGGGGGTCGTTGCCACCGTCAGCAAGGCTCTTCACTGTGGGAAGGGTGAACACATATGTAAGCCCCGGGTGTTTTGTGTGGCCTTGCGCCTGGCCGTGTGCCAGCCCGTTGGAGCATCGGCGATCGTGGATTCGCGCTTCCCGTGCACTGGGGGATCGCATCAACGGCCATTTCCTTCAAGACGTCGCAAAGGCCATGGGGGTTGACAGTCGATTGTCATCCGGCTCAGTCTGGCCGCAAAGTTGTGACACGCGGGGCATAGTTAAACGGTCACAGCAATCTGCATTGGAGACAATGGGTGATGATGCGTTGTGTGATGGGGCCCATCGAGAGACTCTCGTCGAGTAATGCATTTCTCAAACTCTCAGAATTCCTCAGGAGACAGCGATCGTCGATCTGCCTTGTCACGATTCATGTTCACATTTCACAAAGGGAGGCGAGGGTTCTGTTTTAACAATTTGCCAGAACCACATTTCGCCAGACAGAACGACCTACATCCGCCATGATTGCGTGATGTGTGGGGCTCATTTCAAAATCGCCACGACTGGGACAATTTCAACTCTGCAAATTACAACAAACTTTGTTCTCGACATTGCACATAATTGATACACCCAGCCCTGGGGAAGGGTGGCCGCTCTGCCAGTGCACAGCAACCGCGAAAAACGGCGACGAGATTCGGCACCCTTTCACCACAGTCTTTCCCACAACCAACGCACAAGGTTGCGGCCGTCGCCAATATACAATCTTCCGGACTCAAGAGGATAGCCTCGACTTCCGGGGCATGACACCAGGACTTCATATAGCCAGCAGCGGTCGCGAGGTCGCCGAACCCACGCTTGACGCACCCACTTCACAGCTTTATCGACCATTCGTGCTCCACATGGCCGAGCTGTATGTCGAACAGGGTCTTCCGCAGCCGGTTCGTCAGCTGCATGTCCGCAAAACACTCGCACCTGCACTTACAGTCGGGGCCCTTCTCCCTCTTGATCTCCACGACAGGCAGGATGGTGACTGCTGTGCCTGCCCCAAAGACTTCCAGCAGGCGCCCGGCTTGGGCAGCGGTCGTCAGCTCACTGACGGTGATGTTGCGCTCAGACACCTCGAATTCGTTCCAGCTGATACACAGAATGGCGTTAAAATTTTGGGTGGTGCGTGGTGCGGCGCTGGGCTAGCCAGCCCAGGAAAAGTGCAGGCGATTGTTGGGGCGCATTGTGATTCTTGTGTCGTCCACGTGGGTGGAGCTTAGCAGCAAGTGGGGCCTTGGGTGCGGTGGCCGTCGAGGTGGCCTTGGGTGCAGTGGCCGACAGGGGGCATCCACAAACGGTCAAATCCAAAAAGAGCATCAGAACTGTCTGAAATCGGCAGAACTACGACTAGGCAAGGTCTGTATCAAGGAAAAGAACATGGTGGATAAAAAATGTTGTGTTCTTATGCTTTAAAATATGGTTCTGGGTGACTGTCAATGGCAGAGCTGTAGGAGGCACTGTCGCAACCCTATTCTCTCTGCTGAAATTTGTTGCGACCCTATTCTCTGAGATAAATCGAGCGAATACCTTCCCTGTTAGTGCATATGAATACTGGAAAGATCCAAGCTGGTATCGCGCAGTTACATGTGAATGTACACATAAATGGCACTGACAAACACAGCGCCCAGCTGCATTAGCAGCACCACCACTTACTGTCACGCCGCCGACCCTGTGGGCAAGGCACAGCAAAATGGGCACCTCGGCCAGATTCGCCCCGCCAGCATTGGCCTCATCTGCCATACGTTGCGCCACCACAACTTAATGCAACCAAAAGCACAAACATTTCTCCACCAAAGGCACAGGGTCAGGAACAGGGAAGGGACAACCTCACCTTCTGCACAATTCGAGTACAGACTCTCGAGTGACTCCTGGAAGGATCGTACCATCCAGAGGCGGCGTGCACAGCTCCTTCTTGCCATCTTCCTTCTCCAATAAGAAAAAGACGTTCATACCAGCACACTCTGAAATCAGGGCATCCTCTGGGGATGGCCCCTGAGGTAGGCAGAACATGACCATGATGCAGCCATGTTCTTTTCCCGCCTCAAGCTGCAGGAAAGATACAAGCACATGTGAGAACAACATGTGCATTCGATGTGTGCCACATCTGTAGTTCAGTACCTTGAGAACAGCTTGTCACGTGTTGTTCACAGTTTGACATGGTCCTGCCAGAAGGCAGAACAGTCACTATGTTGCATGTCCTCATGATTTCACCAGCAATGTTCCTATCCACACATCCCAGAGGTGAATCGCAGAGGCAAGGGACAATTCTCTGTTCAGGATGGGCTGAATGCATCGACACACCATGATACAGGGCAGCATACACAAACACAAAGCGCAGAAACTGCAATCTGAGGCATGAACAAGCAACTCTGGCACTCACATGTGGCTTCAGAGTCGGGCCATAGTTGCTCGCCAGTTTGTGCTCTCCAGCACCACC